GCTGCAATGAGACCGCTGGGTGTCTGTAAGTAAATCTTAATATTTGTGAGGGTTGTGATCAAGATATCGATCTAATAATATCTTAAACTCAGCAATGATTTTAATCGGATACGATGACGAACGTGGTCCGCAACTGTTCAAGTGCGACCCTGCTGGCTATTATGTTGGATGTAAAGCCACTGCTGCTGGTGCGAAGAAACAAGAAGCCTTGAACCATTTAGAGAAGAAGCTGAAAAAGGATCCCGAATTAGGCACTGAAGACACTATAGAGGTTAGTTAGTGGACGAATTATGCATTCGTGATGCAGTTTCCTGTCTAATCATCTCGATGTTGTGTGTAGTTGGCCATCACGACGTTATCATCTGTACTCTCAGCTGACTTCAAAGCGACTGAGATTGAGGTTGGTATTGTCACAACGGAAGATCGAAAGTTCCGGACGTTATCTACTGCAGAAATTGATGATCATCTGCAACGTATTGTCGAGAAGGATTAGATAAGCAGTGGACATGAAAGTCGACTTTGAGAACGTATAATATTAAACACAGTAAAAAGTCAAGAGATGATTTTATTTATAAATCTCATATGGACCTCATAGAGCATATTTATAAATGTCTCTTATGTCGTATCGCATAACGACTTTTTTATGAGTTCAATGTTACTAATCAGTTCGCGTTGCTTTCCCGCTAATTCGCCCAGCAGTTTTCTGTATGCCAAATGCTGTTAATAATGTTCCTGCACCTTTTAAAATCACAAACGATATATGCCTACCTATCCCGCTCTTTGATCTTGTCCGGAACCCTGTCTTCATACTCGGCCTTGGACATCTTATGCTTTAGATTATCCAGATTTCCTTCAATTTTTTTCAACATTCTATCCAGTTTGTCCACTTGTTCGTCAGTCGCATTCCTTCCATTAGACTGTGCTTTTACAAGTTGGGACAGTGGGACGTGAACTTTAACGTTCGGATTCGTTAAGGTGACGACCACAGTTTGATCTAATTCTGTTGCGTTCATTTCATCCTGAAAACATGGAACGGCGCAGTAAAACAAAATTGGGATGGCATTCGATATGAAATATATAAACCATAGAAGTTTTGATCACCTTTGAATCAATTAACTTGAGTTGAGAAGCTTTTGCAAAGACGCGTATATCGTTAAAGTATTTCTTTATTGGGCCATCTTCGCTTAGGACATTTGCATCGTCTGTGCTCAATATAAAGGGTAAATGCTGACTGATAGGAATATGATTATTTTGTCGCAACGAGCGGCATGCATGTATGACGCTCAAGATACTCTGTTAAAATAAGTTTTAGTTCTAAATTCTTGACAAGTTTACAATGGAGAATGATTATGAAAACTTACTTTCATATCATTCTCAATCTTGACGTTCTTCCAGTTGGCAAAATTTTCGGTTTCAGGGTAACTTGCAATCATTAACGACTTGGGTACCAATTCATTCGCCGTCAGCTTCGCCAAATTCTGCCATAATTCCTTTATAACACTAAAAGTCAGTGTAAGTTATCTACAGAGCATGCAATTAATCTTTTTACTACCTCTGTAATGAATGGCATAAATGGATGCAACAGCCGAAGCGAGACATCCAGGCATATGTCCAATACTCGTAGAGTCGCATATTGGGCCTATTATACGATAACAACCCGTTAACCTTAAACGCGAGACTACGATTTATAGTCTACCTTTCGTCATCTGTTTACCTCCTTTTCAACCTGCGTATGATGACCATATAATACTGGCTTCGCAAACTCAAGATATACATCACACACGTCTTCCCAAATAAAATTTCTTATTGCGGTGGTCGCCTCATGTAATCGAAGAGTCGTAAACGCATCCTGCACTCTACTCACGGTATCCGCTAATCTTGACAAAACATACCGATCCACAAGAGAAAGCCTATCTTTTAACTCATCTACCACCAGAGTCCTTGAAG